TTTGTTACTGTTTTTATGATTACTCTTTCTGGAGTACGTTTTTTAGCAGCCACTTTTCCCTATTGTGGGTTGGCTTTTTATCCCCCATCATCCACTCTTTTTTGTTCCTTTCCATACCAATGAAATTCTGTCTTTTTTGTTAAAAGAAAGATTCTGCTTATGCAATCTGATGAAATTATAATTTGTTTTCTACTTGCAGATACGTCAAAATGATCGTCTAGCTGTTATCAAACTGGTTACTAGCCTGACAAGGGGTACTGTTCGGTCTCCATTGGCTCAATGTCTCTTGATTCGCTATACCAGTCAGGTATGCAATTTCCTTCTTCTTATACATGACGGGGCTTTGCTTCTTGTTCATTATCTTATTTAGGGTTTTGCAAGCAGGTTATTCGTGAATCAGCTACCAGTACTCAAACTGGTGATCGGCCATTCTATGATTTTCTTGAGGGTTGCCTTCGGCACAAAGCAGAGATGGTGATCTTTGAAGCTGCCAAAGCAATCACTGAGCTGCAGGGTGTGACAAGCAGAGAATTGACTCCAGCCATTACTGTTCTTCAGCTTTTTTTAAGCTCCTCAAAGCCAGTGCTGAGATTTGCTGCTGTTCGCACTTTGAACAAGGTAACATCTTCAACTATTCACTTTTCAAACATGATTCATTTTCTGTTAATTTTCTCTTTTGATATTTTGAAAATATATTGTCTTGCAGGTGGCAATGACTCATCCATCGGCTGTCACTAACTGCAATATTGATATGGAGAACTTGATTTCTGATCAAAACAGAAGCATTGCAACTCTTGCAATAACCACACTTCTAAAAACAGGAAATGAAACAAGTGTGGACCGTCTGATGAAGCAGATAACAAATTTTATGTCAGATATTGCAGATGAGTTTAAAGTTGTTGTGGTAGAAGCTATTAGATCTTTGTGTTTGAAGTTCCCATTGAAATATAGATCTCTGTGAGTAATATCTTACATGTTTATTTGTCTTGTCTAAAAAAATATCTTTCAAGAATTTGTGATTATTCAATATTTATATGTTACATTATTTCAGGCAATATATGTTTGATTTATGAGTGTTGGACATCTTTCTTTTGTCACTTTTTTAGGATGAATTTCCTTAGCAACATTCTTAGAGAAGAAGGGGGCTTTGATTATAAAAAAGCTATTGTTGATTCAATTGTGATTCTGATAAGAGATATTCCTGATGCTAAAGAGAGCGGGTTGCTTCATTTGTGTGAGTTTATTGAAGATTGTGAATTCACCTATCTTTCGACACAGGTTATTCACACATTTTTACATTATTTCAGGCTCTGTTAAGCTCTAATTCTTATTGCCTTCATGTTCTATATGATCTTTATAAGTTATTTAATTTCCCATAATATCAGATCCTTCACTTTCTGGGGATCGAAGGACCCAAAACATCTGATCCTAGCAAGTATATAAGATACATATACAACCGAGTACATCTTGAAAATGCAACTGTTCGTGCCAGTGCTGTGAGCACATTAGCAAGATTTGGTGTTACAGTTGAATCATTAAAGGTACAAATTCCCGTCTCCCTTTCTTGTAAGTTGTATGAACGCTATTTGTTATTCTTATCACTCAACTAACCATGTTGCTTTTACTTCTCTCTGTACAGCCCCAAATATTTGTTCTGTTGAGACGATGTCTCTTTGACAATGATGATGAGGTATCTTATTTGTCACAATTGTTGAGGCTTCCATGCCTAGATTGTTTTAAAAATTCTGGAGTAATTTAGATTTGATACCATTTTATATATGGTTCCAGTTTGAAACTGTATATTGAATTTCTTGTACAGGTTCGAGATAGGGCCACCCTATACTTAAAAACACTTGGAGATAATGATGCAGTTACTGAAACTGAGAAGGATGCCGTTGACTTCCTTTTTGGGTCTCTGGATGTCCCACTGATCAATCTAGAAACAAGTTTGAAGAATTATGTAAGTTATTTCAGTGAGTTTATCAAGTACCATGGAGATCATCGCTCATGTGTTCTGCCTATGGATGTAGGAGCCTTCTGAGGAACCTTTTGACATTGATTCTGTGCCCAAGGAAATCAAGTCTCAGCAACTTGCTGAGAAGAAAGCCCCAGGTAAAAAGCCAACCGGCCTTGGTGCTCCTCCAACTGGCCCAGCAGCCACTGTTGATGCATATGAGAAGCTTCTTTCTTCGATTCCACAATTTGCTGCCTTTGGGAAGCTTTTCAAGGTTCGATTGTTTCTATCCTTAATCATGCATGGTGATGTTTGCGCTATATATGTATATATATTTTTATTAGTACTTCAATGTTGAAATTGTGATGGTATTGATCTTTTCAGTCATCAGCACCTGTGGAACTTTCAGAAGCAGAAACGGAATATGCAGTTAATGTTGTTAAGCATATTTTTGATAGCCACGTTGTGTTTCAATACAACTGCACTAATACAATTCCTGAACAACTACTCGAAAATGTATGGGCTAATTCAAGGAAAACAGTATTCTTTTCTTTTTTCGTTAAACTGCATCCAGATTTGTATAATTATTTCTGCTTTCTGCCTTCTGCCAGGTCACTGTTGTTGTCGATGCGTCTGAAGCAGAAGAATTCACTGAAGTGATATCCAGACCTCTCAGATCACTTCCCTATAATTCACCTGGACAAACCTTCGTGGCATTTGAGAAGCCTGAAGGGGTTCCTGCTGTTGGGAAATTTTCAAACATGTTGAGATTTATTGTTAAAGAGGTCATTCGCAGAAATTTTATTAAACCAGAGTTTGCAAATATCACAATTTGACATTAGCGCATCTGCATACTATTATTCTACAAAAAAAAAGGAAAAAAAAAAAAAAAAGAAACTGGGATTAGAGATTCGATAGCACAGGAAAAATATGGGCCTGAGTGAGGAATTGAATATTTCTAATTTAATTCCGCTGTTAGGTTTGAGTTAACTCATGAATTTAACCTCCATGAAAAGTATATTTGGTGATAAAATTAGTTCGCGAAGTATGCTCGTTGCCGAGCATCTCCAAATGATTTTGATTTTGTATTTCACTTCTTTGGTCTAGGTTGATCCAAGCACTGGGGAGGCTGAAGAAGATGGAGTGGAGGATGAATATCAGTTGGAGGATCTGGAGGTTGTTGCAGCTGATTACATGTTGAAAGAAGGAGTCTCTAATTTCAAAAATGCATGGGATAGCTTGGGTCCGGACTGCGAGAGAGTTGACGAATACGGTCTTGGACCAAGGGAAAGCTTGGCTGAAGCTGTAGGTGCTGTCATAAATCTTCTCGGCATGCAGCCCTGTGAGGTTAGTTTGTCGTATTGCAAATCGCACACCTGCTTCTATTTGTGCAGTTTGAGATTCGAAAACCTTGATATGAATGCTTTGCCAAATTCCATAAACTAAATTTTGAAAAACTTCTTTTTTTAGTTTTCAAAACTTAACTTGGATTTTGGATTTTGAAAACATTTATGAAAAATAAACCAAGCGAAAAAAAAAAGTTCATTATTGTAGTGTTTATAAGCTTAGATTTTAGATAATTTTAATTCATGAATTAGCAACTATTTTGAATTATTGGTCTTTCCATTCAAGTCATGTTTGCTCTCTCTTTCAGGGAACCGAGGTTGTTGCAAGCAACTCGAGATCACACACCTGCTTGTTGTCTGGTGTATACATTGGCAACGTGAGGGTACTTGTGCGATTATCGTTCGGAATCGATTCTTCAAGAGAGGTTGCAATGAAGCTGGCCGTTAGATCATCGGATGAAATTGTTAGCGATGTCATTCACGAGATAGTTGCGAGCGGCTAGTTGGAACTGTAAGGAAACTAAATCTTAATTCATTTTTGTTTGTGAGCAAAATTAGGTCACAGGTTTCGGGATGGGCTACGAAAAGGGTCAAATCTTGTATAAAGAGTTTTGAAGTTTGAGGCAAACTCCATTCAGGACATGGGCATCATCGTCATGGGAGCGTTTGTTGAATTAGTTTGAGTCTATATTTGCTCATCCCTGTTTTAATGGTCGACTTTGAGAGTCATTTCCTCATCTTGCTATTCGACGCGTCTCGCTCCATCGTGCTCTTCCCTTCAAGAAAAAATGACTGATATGGTTGTCCTCGTTACTCACTCCGTGTCTATTATATGTGAATGTGATGGTTTTTCTCAAATCGATCTTCCGAGTACCGTTTGCCTTTCTCACCAAAGTCTGCATTTGTTGGTTTGAGAAGCTGTCAAAGTTGAATTAATAGGGTTTTGCTGCCAGTTGAGTTTAGTTGATTGATGAGTGGTTGTGGGCAAGGAATTTAACTTGTTGGATGTCTATTAGCGAATTGTTGTATTTTTTGTGATGTAAAAATGTTTGACAAACATACTTGAATAAATGAATTTTCTTTTTTAGGTTAAATTACAAATTTAGTTGTCTTTTTTTTTTTTTTTTTAATTATTATTATTATTATTATTTAAATTTTAAGGTTTTATCGAATACAAAATTTAAATTTATATATAATTAATTAATTAATTAATTTTAAATTTTTTGAATTATTCAGAAAACTTATTAGCCAAAATTGATTTTATTAGATATGTTTAAAAGTTTTAAAAATGAAATAGTTACAATTTTTAAAGTTTGGATAATTTAATCATAATTTTTAAAGTTTGAATAAATGTTTATTTTGTTTGAAACTTCTATAGTTGCATTTTAGATTTGAAATTCAGGTTATGTCGATTTATCATAATACCTAATCAATCTTAAAATGAAATATGGTTTCAATATTTAAAGCAAAATTTATCTGTATATTATTCCAACATCCTACAAATGATTTCAAAACTTTATAAAATTTAATGTGTAAATAAATAACACTACTAAGTCTTAAGTATTGGCTTTTAACTTCTTCATGTTTGGAGAATTAAAACCCTAGTGTTAACAAAATAGTCTCTAATTTAAACAATTTTTCAGTTATACCCAATAATAACTGAAAAATTGTATTACATTATTATTATCATATAGTAAAAGGAGACAAGAAAGCCATTTTCATCATATATTTGTTTGGAATAATCAATCATGTTTGTGAATGCTCTCAGATGGTCTAATTTGGAGAGAAAACTATGGATTTACATACCAACAATACAATTTGAAGGGTTTCACGATGAGTTTGCATCCATACACTAAACACAGCCCAAGGAAGGCTTTTACACAAAATACACCTCTTCCCTCCTTAATTAACCTTCCTCTGACCTCCAAAAGCCCAAATCTACATACAAGTAATGCAAAAATTAAACATATATACTTTATGAACTTGGGAATAAAAGTAGCTACCAATTATCCGAACTAGATTTTGATTATTGATATGCATAACTATTATCGTTCATCAATCAGCAGAAAGGGTCTCGGACTGTTTTCGATCACCATAAAAGTTTAATTGATTAGATTACAAATTTGTTTTCTTTGGTTTGAAGAAGAAGGTTGAAAATTAGTATCGCCCTCTTTCGAAGTTAAAATTCATCTGACCATAAATTTTTATTTCATGAAATCAGTTCCCAACCTTAAACAGGTGATATAGATATTATATACTTTTTAGCCTGATTTGGACATTTATAGTTAAATATGTAACCGCCCAAGCCTACTGCTAGCAAATATTATCTGCTTTGGTCCGTTACGTATTGTCGTCAGGCTCACGATTTTAAACGCGTCTGCTAAGGAGAGGTTTCCACACCCTTACGAGGAATGCTTCGTTCCCTTCTCCAACCGAGGTGGGATTTTACAGAATACCATGTTAACAAACATACTAACCTTCAGGTTTGAATCCCAACTTCCTGTACATAAAGCACTTCCATCAGCAGACAAACCCAAGCAAGTAATTGGCCCTTCATGTGAGTTGTGAAGTGTTCCCAAGTTCAAAACCATCTGCAATCATCAAAATTAATGATAGGTATCATTTCACCCAAATATATAGCCTGCTAAAGGATCCAGTAATATTTAAAGGAAATTTCTTTTTTAACTTAGGTATGCTACCGAAAGTATTCGACAAGAGGTTCGTCGTCTTCATGGACATATTTTGAACGAGGTGGATGTTCTAGTATTCTTATTGACATTAAAACATGAAATACCTGTGCAAGTAAAGTGTCCCACACATAGCAATCGCCATTTTTGTATCCAGCAAATAAAAGCCTTCCAGATATAGAGAATGCTATGGAGGTTACATGTGGGTTGGTATCATCACTGTGCAGCTGATGGTAAACTTGGAGAACATGCCCAGTTCTGATATCATATAGTCTGCAAGTTCCATCATCAGAACCAGTTCCAAACCGGTTACCATCTGGAAAGAACTTTACTGTATTAACATCTCCGTCATGTCCGTGGAATGTCTGCACTGCTCGACTAGCTACCCGAGTGTCCCAGAGGCGAGCAGTTGCATCACAAGAACCAGAAATAAATGTGTTGGATCCGCTAATAGATACACTAAAACATGCATAAAAACAAAATAGTCAAACAACTACAGAAGTAATATGAATAATCAAATATCCATGTATTCGCATTAGATAATTACAATCATCCATCTTTACAACATAAATCAAATGGGCTCATGGAAGGGAAAACGTAATATAAGCAAGAAAACAAGTTAATGAAACAATTTGCATAGTCATAATGGAACTTTATATCATACCATAATAAGCCCGGACAACGGAATTCCAATGAACTCAATTGTTCATCTCTAAATGAAATTCATAAGGATATTATGAGAATAATACCTTGATACATCTGCTGTATGCCCGGATTGAAATTCGCCTCCAAAAACAGACGTTCGAAGTCCAGTAGTAATATCCCACAATACACAAGTCTGATCCCCAGAACCAGTAATGAGGTGATTATCATCATCTGGAACATATTGACAACAGGAAACATACCCTTTATGCCCGCTAAGAGTTCTAGACACTGGCAGATTGCCATCCCTGTCATTTGGAGAGTTGAGGTTGAAGATAGAACAGACACTGTCGAGACCACCACCCGCTACAGATTGACCAGAAGGCGAGAAAGCACAAGTCATGACCCATGGACAAGGTAGCTTTATGGCATGAGTCTTCTGGCTTGTTAGAGCATTCCACACTATTAAACGTCCATCTTTAGATGCACTGACAATTCGATTCCTCTCCGAAGTCCAATCCAACGAGTACACCTGCAGGAGTTACAGAAATTATTTTCCAACCCCAATGGAGAATCTCAGAGTTAAATTGAAGAGAAACAGAGACTTGATCATTGAATGAAAAACACCGAAGCACAAGAGTAGAAACCATTTTTGATATCTAGGCTCTACACTTCAGGCAATGAGTTGAGTACCATAAAATGACATAAACAATCAGAGTAAGCTATCTCTTGTAGATAGTTTCTCTTCAATCATTTTGCTTGTAGGCATATCCTCCCTACAAGACTATGAAGTAATAAATGAACTAATTAAACAATCGCTACCAAATCAACTACTCTCAACCAGATAATCCAGAAAAAAACACTTTCAATGGTATCATGGTGTAATTCAATCCTAACATTCTTCCAACATATGTTTACACTAAAGTAATGATTTAAGATCTTTTTCACGACACAGTAAGAAGATTTCTACAACAGTCAAACGTTAAAAAAAGAACACGGCTATCCTCGAAGTTATCCACAAAAAGAAAACGTACCTTTCCAGTATGACCCTGCAAAGTCCTACAGCAGACGAGATCCGTAGCTCCGAAACAGACGGGACGCTTCCCCTGAGACCTCGCAAACGCAGCTACTGCAGAATCAACCACCAAAACGGATGAGATCTAAACCGACTACCAACAACATAATCATCAATCAGAAGAGGAAAAAAAACAACACCGCCGAATAAAAAATAGAAGTTACAGAGTGATCAAGAAGCTCACCGTCAGTGTCGAGCAACAAACGCCTCTTCTCTTTCAAGCGCTCTCTGAGAGAGTTGACCATCTCAATGGCCGCCACATGCCGCTCCTTAAGCTCGGAAACAGACATTTTGCTTGAAAACAGAAACTTCAACCAAGAAACGCCATCGACACGCCCAAATCGAGCTTCAATAAAGCCGTAAACATTGAAATGAGAGAGGAAGAAGTGAAATTAAGATGAAATCATCGAGAAATCTAGGGTTTAACTAGGGTTTACATGTACAGGAATGGGCGAAAAGATTGAAGATCGTCTGTGAAGAAGAAGAAGAACAGAGGGAATTTTTGGGCCGATCGAGAGGAAGAGGAAAAGAGACGAAGAAAAGCTGAAAAAACTGAAGATTTTATTTTATTTATTTTATTTTATTTAAATTTTACTGTAAGCCGCCGGGCCCACATTGTCCCACGTGTTGTATTAATAATAGGTGTAAAGCCACCGTGTCATGTGGGACCACCCAGGCTCTAATCTAATAACCCAACTCTATGTTACTATAATTGTGTTCATTTATTAGCCCCAAATATAATTATTATACTTTTTTTTTTTTGTTTAATTAGATCCTTCATTTTTAATTTAATTAAAATCTAATAATTACTTTTTATAATTAGATGAAATTCTAAAAGAAATATTCCTATTGGTCGTACTTTTTAAGATTTTATCCAATCATTATAATTAATTAAACTAAATTTATAATTTAATTTTTTTTAAAAAAATCAACCATTTTAGTCGACCGAGTAGTTTGTTAGATACGTCATTTATTATTCCATATATAAGACTGAAACACTAAATATTTAACCTCTTTTTATAAACCCATTAATATTTCACAACATGACTATATATTGATCGATCTTAATCTTGTTGAGTTATAAACTCGTGTCTACGAGAGTTTGTCTCTCAATTTGCATGGGTGAGAGTGACTTTTCTAGTCGGTTTAGTAAGTCTACTATTCTTTACTTAATAATAGGAAGTTGGGACGACGTGAAATTCCCTCATTTCCTATATACGAGTAAGTACATTAGTTGTTCTCTTCGGTACTAATTCTGAGAGTTTAACAATGGACCCCACCTTTTCACTCTGCTCTAGAGAAATTTAATTTATGATTGGATCATAAATAAATTATTCATCAAAAAATTAGTCGTACTTTACGATTATGCGGCACTCACTTCCTAGCAACAAGTGAGTTAAGCCTATTCGTTCTTGCATCGCTTACGGCCAAGCGACGTATACTCGAGCCTCTGGCCTCGGTTCAAGAAGAAAGTTTCAGAAAACGGGGGCAGAGAGATTTCGAATGAGAGTTTTGAAAGCAAGATTTGAGAAATTGAAATTGTTGTTGTATGGGAATGTAAGAGAAAGGCAACAACGACGACTTACTGCATATAACTATCTGGTAGGGAGAAGTTGACAACTCGTGAATGAAACTATGATTAATTAAAAAGTTTAATTAATTAATTTTGTATTAAGTTCGCGCGGTCTTTCGGCTAGCTAATAATAACATTGATCAATTTAGTTGAAAGAAAAATATATTTAATTTGAACGTTCCAATTAATATTTACTATATTAGATATTAGGTATATAAAAGGAAAATATTTTGAGCTAATCTATTTGTGTAGTCCCTCGATAGAGTGAATTTCCTCTACACACGCTAGTAGCTCCCCAATATATTACTTCTATAGTCCCTTATCCACTCTCAGGACGGGTTTGTTCTACACACAATAGCTAGTGTGTATAATAACCCGCCTTGAGAGGGGACGAGAGACTACACGAGTAGTTGATATCAACTACTCGTGTAGTCTCTCGTCCCCTCTCAAGCGGGTTATTATACACACTAGCTATTTCTCATGCTATCAATTTATGTAATCCCTCGTCCCCTCTCAAGGCAGGTTATTATATATAGAGTGGTAGTTTTTTATATCACCTGTTCGAGTAGTCCCTCATCTCCTATCAAGGCAAGTTATATCCTACACATAGTGACTCCTCAAATGGTTTCGTTCCCGTTACCATCCATCTTATAAGTTCTCGTAGTTCACCTTTGTGCCATGGAGATATATTAGGTTCTAGGACGTTTTAGGTGGATTAGGTCACAACTTGCGTTTCAAGTCGCTCAAGGTGAGCTCTTCGTGGCTAAGCAAAATCTCGGGGTGCACCTAGGTCTCTCATTGCCGTTACGATCCTAGGGTGCTTGGTGTCACAATCGCACTTTTGATGGCAGCAGACTTGCGATTGTGCGGCACTCACTTTCCAACGACAAGTAAGCTAAGCCAATTCGTTCTTGCGTCGCCTACGGCCAAGCAACGTATGCTCGAGCCTCTGGCCTCAGTTTTAAGAGAATGTTTTAGAAAACGAGGGCAGAGAGAGATTTTCGAAAGAGAGATTTTTTAAAGAAACGTTATATAAGCAAGCAAGAGAGAAATAACAACGGCTCACAGTATATAACCTTGGGTAGGGAAAAGCTGACAACTAGTCGTATCCACCTATAGTACATTCTGAGGCATTTCATGTCTGGCAGACCTAGACATGATATTTCTGAAACGTCATACTTCCAAGAAATACAAAAGTAAAACACTAAAATATGAAAAGACATAAAGGGTTTGACTTGTCATGGGCATACGGCCATGGGTAACATGCCTTGGACGAGCATGACCGTGACACTTGGCGTACTGGAAATATATTAACCTAAGTCGTTACATAACACTTGGGTTCCTCTGCTCTAAACTTACCCTAGTTCATGCATTAACCTAAGTATTCTATCGATCACCTAGTGTACAGAAATCATGGTCTAAAATTTCATGCATGTTTAATAAAGAGATATTCCTATCAATCAAGTAAGCATAGATAATACAAACATACATTAGCCTGAATGTAGCATACAATTCAAACATGCTCAACGGGGAGATAACGTCCATCTAGCCCCCAGAGCGCATATCACAGTTTTCCTATCCTCCATGTTGTTGGATCGGTATGGCAACCCTAGAGGGGGTGAATAGGGTTTTAACGATAAAAGGGTTTAAATGTGATTAATTAATTAATTTATTTTTTATGATGAAACTTTTTACAAATAAGTAGGAGATGATAATTACTAGAACAAAATAATTCAAGTCAAAACAATAATCAAGTAGAACATGCAATAAATCACAATAATAATTTTGAAATTAAATAGGAAAGAGTTAGAGAAAATGACACCGTAATTTTATAGTGCTTCGGTCAAACTCGACCTACTCCACTCCCCTAGCGCCTCTTGGGAATTTGAATAAAGAACTTTCTCGACTCTTTCCACGGATCAGAGCCAACCCGCTACACCGCTCTTTTTACGAGTTCAAGAGCAAACTCAATCCTTTCCACGACGCAGGATCAAACCGGTACAAGTATTTGAGTTTGATAACAACACACCACAACTCTCTCAAAGAGTAGATTTACAATTTGGGACACTCACAACTATTTCCTCACAATACAATAATAATCCCTCTCAAGAATAAGATCAAGAGAAAATTTTCTAAATTCATTTATTTAAAATTTTTAATATAATAATAATAAAAAGTTATGTGAGCAACGGTCAAACGAAAATTCAAATTTATTATAAATATAATAATATAATAATAATAAAAATTATGTGAGTAACTACCAAAATTTTAAAATATAATAATATAATAATATAATATAGTAATAATAAAAATCGATGTGAATAACGGTTAGATTCAAATTTATATTTTATAAAAATAATTTTATTTAGAAATATAATAATAAGAAAAACTCCACCATTTGTTACTCTTCCAACATTATAAATGTCATATTTTGATATATTTTGATTTGTCCATCATTTTGATTTTGCTGCCACATCATCACGTCGAGTATGTTGTCTCGACTCTAATTTCTTCGTTTTAGCTCTGATTTGAGTAATTGAAAAGTCGTTGTAATCGTTATTCCCGACCTTATACTGTAGACCGTTCAAAAAAATGAAAATAGTTAATAATTAAAAGTAGGTTTGTTATCATCAAAACATCAATTAATTAAAGTAAGATCAGGGCCAATAAGCCAACACATGTGAGATCTCACATCGGTTGGAGAGGGGAACAAAGCATTTCTTGTAAGGGTGTGGAAACTTCTCCCTAACAGACGCGTTTAAAAGTTGTGAGGCTGACGCCGATACGTAGTAACGGACCAAAGCGGACAATATCTACTAGCGGTGAACTTGGGCTATTACACTACATTCTAGTGCAACGGAAACATTTAATAAACATATCATAGTAAGAAAATGGAAGATCATGATAATGTTTCATGATATGATACGTGCATGATATGACATGATATGTTGGGAGACACAATATGCTTATGATATGTTAGGAAACACGATATGCTTATGATGTGACACATGTGAAATGATAAGATGTATGATATGAATGACATACAATAAGATGCTTCGACATGATGCACAACTTTAGGGAAATGGAAGGGGTTGTTTTACATGATAATGAATGAAATGTTGGGACCTCATGCATCATTGTGTGTTCATGCACTTTTACAATGGTTCGGACGCGTACATTACGATGCAGGAAAACAATCATTATGTTTATATCGTAATGCTGCGACGATCACTATAGCTAATGGGTGTCTGACATCAACAACTCCAAAGAATGCTCGTTCGACCATGACAGTGGCTCAGGAGGTGTGCGAACCGACTAGTGAGTCCATACTCGCACGTGTGCACCATGTGTAGAACAATAAATACACATTCAATTAACCCATCCGGGATAGCCACGTAAGGAAATATAGAATGATATGATAGATCCCACTCATGATTCTATGTGTTTCTTAAAATACTAAAGCCACGTGCTACTTATATTTCAGGTTAGGCAAAACACTCTTATACAACTGACGATAACATTAGAATTCAAGACCATGACACATGCATAGGGTAGTTGTATTTATTTTCTTAGAATTTGGTAAGAATAGGGCGTTTTTAATTTTAATGTTCATTTAGTAATTCGTTATTTCTTTTTAAAAACGTTTTCAAACACATAAGTCCATGATAGTGCTTTAAGATGAAATTTAAACGCTTATTTCTACACAAAATGATTATGTTATGATGATGGTAGCGATTTTAGGTAAGGAGAAATCTAGGGTCATTACACACCGCTTGATATGTGATCTAATTTAGAAGTATTCCAAAAAAGACAAACAAATAAATAATTTCATGTAATACAAAGCTAATAATAATCAATTTATGGTGGGAGTTTGAGTGATGGATGTTTACGAACCAACTGAACATGATATGAAGTCGAAGACAAGAAGAAGAAGACATCTTACTTCTTGAGGGCCAAAGACTTTTGAGGCATGAAGCTATCGAGATTCGTTGACCTTGACATGATCTGACATGATCTAACGAATAATAATTTAGCATGACATAGAGAGAGTATGCCGACTATTTGAACCAACGAGTAATAATTTAGCATGAACATAGAGAGTATGTCAACTATCTGAACTAACGAGTAATAATTTAGCATGAACATAGAGAGTATGTCAACTATCTGAACTAACGAGTAATAATTTAGCATGACATAGAGAGTATACCGACTATATGAACTAATGAGTAGTAATTTAGCATAACATCAAGAGTATGCCGACTATATGAACTAACAAGTAATGAGTAATAATTTAGCATGACATAGAGAACAGGCCGACTATCAGAACTAATGAGTAATAATAATTTAGCACGATATAGAGAGCATGCCGACTATCTGAACCAACGAGTAATAATTTAGCATGACATAGAGAATATGTCGACTATCTGAACTAACGAGTAACAATTTAGCATGACATAGAGAGTATGCCGACTATATGAACTAACAAGTAATGCTTTAGCATGACATAGAGAATAGGCCGACTATCGGAATTAATGAGTAATAATTTAGCACGACATAGAGAGTATGCCGACTATCTGAACTAATGAGTAATAATTTAGCACGACACAAAGAGTAGGCCGACTATCTGAACTTATATAGGACATTCTTTATACAAAAAGCTCATTTCTTATGTTTGTAGGCATCCATTAACACCAAAACAACAGCAAAAACACAAGGGAGATCATAGATATACACCGCGCTGCCTCCTATTAAATCTTTGAAAACTTATAAGGAAGAAATATTTTAGTATAAAATAATCTGACCTCTAGGAACTGGCTTCTCTTACAGCAATGAGATTTTTATCTCTTTCTTGATTCCCTGTCATCTATACCGCATGCTTTGATGGAAGTTTACTCGGTACGTCTAGTCGTGAAGGCTGGCTGTCTTTGTCTCGCACCGATCGAAGCTCCTGGAAATTGAGAAGGAAGAGACGTTACAATCCCTCGTTATTGAATCTACTAGATATTTGGTGAGATTCTACGTAGGTTGGAGAGGAGAACGAAGCATTTTATATAGGGGTGTGGAAACCTCTCCCTAGCAAACACGTCTTTAAAACCTTGAGGGCCCGAAAAGGACAATATCTACTAGCGGTGGGCTTGAGTTGTTACATATTTTACAATGGAGATGACGAGAATGGGATAATTTGTTCAAATATTTCAAGCATTTCCTTCATTGGGTTTATGGCAAACTTTGGAAATCAGGGGGGAAATAGAACAACAGCAGATGAAGATGAACTAGAATGAAGATCAGCTAATCTTGAGTCAAATAATTCAAAGAGCATGGTGAACAACAGCGCTTACCGAACGATAAGGAAAGTCATCTGCCTCTAGCATGTGAACGATTTGCCCCATCTTTGGCCTTTTATTGGCATCCAAGTCAATGCAGCGTAGACAAACAAGCAACAGTCGCTTTAGAGCTCTTGGAGAGGGTGGAATCTCAATCAATGGATCCACAACCTCTTCGCCACGTCGATTCGCCACCATTCCTTTAAACCAGTCCACCAAGTTCATCTAGAAACACACCCATTGTAAATTAAATTGGATAACTTAAATGTGTATGAAACCAGTGAGGTACTTGGCTTAACAGTCTTACCTCTCCTGGGGGCCTGGAATAGTCGATTGGGCTTCGACCGGTAATGATCTCCATAAGTAGAACCCCGAAACTGTATACGTCGCTTCCCTCGTTTAGCATGCCTGTACTTGCATACTCAGGGGACACATATCTATAGCATGACAAAGTACCTTAGCAAACCAGAATGACTAAGGTTGCAAAATTGGATAGAATGTTGTTAGTAACGTAGAAACATACCCGAACGTCCCCATTACTCGAGTAGTTACGTAGGTGGCTTCGGGTTGTAAGAGTTTTGCAAGTCCAAAATCGGACACCTTTGCATTCCATTTTCTATCTAAAAGAATGTTGCTGGATTTTACATCACGGTGCACGACTTTAGGTTCTAAACCTTCATGCAAATAGGCCAAGCTGTGTTTCAAATAAGGCCAGGCAATCAGCAACAAAATATTAAAAACACAACTAAAACATATTTACTGCCAACTTCCTATAAAAACAGAAGGTATAAAAACAGAAGGGACATGTGTAACAGTTCAAGCCCACGGGTACATGTGTAATAGTTCAAGCCCACCGCTAACAGATATGGTCCTATTTGGGCTTTTCCTTATGGGTTTCCCTCAAGGTTTTAAAACGCGTTTGCTAGGGAGAGGTTTCCACACTCTTACCAGGAATGTTTCGTTTCCCTTTCAACTAATGTGGGATCTCACAATCCACCTCTTTTAGGGGCCCAAGGTCTTCTCTAGCACGTAGCCCAGTGTCTAACTCAGATACCATTTGTAACAACCTAAACCTATCGCTAGCAGATATGGTCATTTTTAGACTTTCTCTTCTAAGCTTCCTCTCAAGGTTTTAAACCGCGTTTGCTACTAGGGAGAGGTTTCCACATTCACAAGGAATGCGTTCCCCCCTCCAACCGATATGAGATCTCACATGTTACATGAACAAAGTAAGAGAAGGAATTCTCATGTAAAGAACAAGTATTGAACAAGTTACCCTTTTGCTGTCCCAAGAGCAATCTTCATCCTAATATCCCATGTTAGAGGGCTAACAGGCCCCACATCACCATGTAGCCATTGCTCCAAGTTGCCATTATCAATATATTCAAACACGAGCATCCTAAAATTGCACAAAATCCCATTGTTAAGTTTACTACAATAAACTCCAACAAGGTTCATGTGTTAAATTATAATATACCTCTGTGCTCCTTCTGCACAGAAACCTATCAGACCCACCAAGTTCTTGTGCCTTACTTTTCCAATGGCCTCTACTTCAACCTTGAACTCTTTCTCTGCCTGACCCCTGTAACAAAATTATGAAAACAGATAAATTCATTTCTTTTTATCACGAGATGTGTGCCAAATGTATTATAGCAGAGGTCATGGACATAATAGAGAATGTCCCAAATTAAAAACAACCAAATCCTTCCTGGTTATTCTTTCTTAGTCTGTGATGAGCCAAGAATGAAGAAATGAAAAGAACCGGTAGCGGTTTTAAGGAAGACTACCGAGCTGATAAGCGCCTATAAATAAATAACAAGGCTTCCAATGCTAAAGAACAGATTTCACATTCCTACAGATCGGTTCAAGCCATGGTGATTTTCTACCTAAGATTAAAAATCCTACGAATTACCTTAGCAACCAAATGTAGTCCGGTTAGGACTCCATGAAGCCTAAGCTAAACCAAATACGTACAGAAAACAACAGAAAAGTCAAAATATTAACTTTAATTAAGGCAAGCACCACACCATCTAGTTGGCCATATCAGTTTCTGAGAGAGAATCTACACTGAACCCAGGAAAGAAAAAGGGAAAAAAGCTAATAATTACAGGGTAAGGTAAGGACATGTGATTTGAAGTTAAAGAAATGTGTCGATAACGTATCAGAACTCACTAAAGCAGTAAAGAACAAAATGACAGTTTGGCTTTTACGTAATGCTGAGCAACAAAAAACCCACAACCGACATAGTACCACTAAGTTCGGATCATTGTTTCATCGGTCAAAACTAAAATTTCATGGGGAATTTGGAAAACAAAAAAAAAAAAAAATGAAGAAGATTAAACATAAACCCAGTAGCAGAATCGGAAATAAAATAATCAGAACAGAGTAAAATTCAACGCGGATTTCCCAGAAAAAGTGTAAAATAATCGATATGAAATGATTGAATTTGTCTGTATAATCCACTGTCCACCCACCAAGATGCTGCTAATAAAAAATTATGAAATACAAAAGTGACGTGCAATTCTTCCTTTTCTAATGGATTATAGTGCACATAATGACCAAAACAGTGCAGGATTTTTCTGAAATGGCAAGTACTTTACAGCGAATGTTATGATTCATTTCACTTACTTGTTGTTAAGAAGACTCTTCACGGCGACGACGGAGCCGTCCGGCGAAACTCCTCTGTACACGATACCGTACCCTCCTTCTCCGATCACATTCTCTTCCAGAAATCCATCGGTGGCCATTTCCAGTTCCTTCAAGCTGTACCACCGTCCCCATCCTAAGTTCTGATCCTCCACCGACACGTCGCTCCGACCGCCTCCGGATACGTCGCTCTCTTGACTCTTTTTACCTACTCCACTTTCGAACTCGATCTCCATCTTTTTCTCAACCCTAACCACTTCCCCTTTCTCGCAATCCGCAGTCGGATCGGACTCTTTGATCTCGGCTATCTCCTTGGAGACCAAAGGAATCAATCCGGAGCTGTGCTTCACCCGCATTTTGTGCTTCCTCGAGTCCCGATTTCTGCGGAAACAGAGGAAGATCAAAGCACAAGCCGCAATCACACACGCAACGATTACACCGATTGCAGCATAGATTTTCAAGTTAGATAGAGAAGTTGTAGAAGAACTGGAGGAAGATTCGTCAGCGGGGTGAATCTCCGTCGAATTGCTACCGGAAACCGCCATTGTTTCCGGCGAAAGGAGAAGAAACGGAAACAAACAGAGAAAGAAGATATTGTTGGTGGTTTTCTGGGATTATGAGAAATTTTGCAGGAAACGCTTTGGAGAAGAACGGAGTTGAGAGATTTCTGGGTGACGGAAGAAATGGGGTTTCAACGGATACAAAGTTGAAAAAGACAGTGAAAAAGGGAAGGAAAAAGAGAAGAACGTTGTTGAGTATTGGGGTATGGGAAAGTGGATTATTACGGAATTGCCACTGTATAGTGACGGTAACAACAGCCATTAGAATAACCCCTGGTAACTCGCTTCCAGAAAACAATTTTTTAATTAATTAATTACTCATCTAGAAATTTTTATTTACATTTTTAACTTTATTCGATTTAAATTTTAATTTAACCATAAATAAATTAATTCGTAAAAAAATTAATTTGGATTTGGATTCGGGTTATTTTATTAAATTTTTATTAACGTTTATTTTATTTTCAAATATGTTTTTTTTAAGAGTACCATTAACGCTCTTCCTTTTATAAAAAAAGTTTAAATTTTTTCAAGTATCTGACAAACATCGTCTCATAAGTTATCTCTAAACTTTTTAATATTAGAGTAATCCTCACAGTGATACGAACGTAAACCCAATTTTAAATTTTTTTAAAAATATTTAAATATATTTTTTATCCAAAATTAATGGTGGTTTTTTTAGTTTTAGTTTTTTTAGTTGACGACTATTATTAAAATATTTTATAGTTAGAAATATTTTTTTAGACGAAAAAATAAATAATTAAAGTTTGTTTCCTATCTCCAACTTCTTATTAAAATGATAATGATGGTTACAATATATCCATCATTAGTAAAGATTATTGTAACGAGATTACTATCGTTAGGTTTTCATTCATATATTATATACTTTATATTAAACTCGAATCATTTAATATTATTAAGCTTATATTTATCCTCTTTACTTATTTAACTAATTATTTTTTAATTATAGATCGTTAATATTTGATAACAATATAAATCATTAACAACATATAACCAAACAAATAGAAGCCATAATTATCGTAAGATGATTGATCAAATGTTATGTTCACTTTAATGTGAAAATCAAGCTAATATAGTCAGTAGAAGTATTCGTGGATCCGGTTGGATCGGGCTAGAACATTTGTTTTGACCTAACTTTAGATCGCAAAATTTTCAACCCAACCCAACCGTAAATTTTTTGGATGCAGGTTGTTCAAATTATTTATTTAAATTTTTTATTTTTCGTAAAAATAAAATATTTATTTACTCCTTTTCAAGCCTGTAATTTAAATTTAGATGTAAAAATAGAATAAATAATAAAAAAATACAAATATATATACATTATTTAAAAGAATAATAATGATATTTATTTTTTGATTTAAAAAATATAATATTAGTTAAATGTTCTATTAATTAAAACGTGATGTCTATTGCGGCATGCCCATTTCAAACCCCATCAAAACTAATAAGGGCATTCCATCCTGGGTAAGCTGTGCTTAAATAGACATTTACTATTCTTGTTGTGTCAACTACGGGAGTGTATGATTCGTTACCAAAATCATGTTCATATTTGATAGCGCTTGAGGGGATGTGATTTCTTTTAAATTATTTTCAACGCATTTGATCGCTCACGTTTTTTGAAATATTTTTTTTGAAACGTGACCCAAAACTCGATCATATGTCAAGATTGTCTGCAATGTTCCGACTTCTGTATGACTGACTTGTTCGTCAAATTAGAATAAGTGTCGCACAGTCGCTATCCCGCTACCCACAAGAGTTCAATTGTAATAACTGGATAGATTTCGTATGTTGTCCAACTTCATTTGAAATTTGCTTTCGAACTACGTACGTGGGCACATCTCGATAACTAGACACATTTTAAAAATACGCTAATTTGGTAATATATAAACCAAAATCAATCATATTTAAAATTGGTATAAAAAAGGTATTTTTAAAATACAATAAATTTAGTATATTTAATATCCATAGAATTTGGAGTGGGAGAAAGGGAAGGGTAGAACGCGTAAATTTAATGAAAATCACGAGCAATTTGGGAGTTCACACCCAACAATACATCGTATGTTTAATGCTATTTTTCGAATTCTTTTTCAAAATGCGCCAATTTATTTTTTATTTTTTATTTTTTTTTTGTAATTTTGAAATATCATCGACCCTATCTCACTTCATCTCAAAATATCCGAGAGATAGAGTGATATGAACGACGACCAAGGAATTTTCATACCTCAAGGTCTAATTACAAGGACGAGAGCCAAGAAGCTACAACAAGCCTTGTACACTTATATTCAAGCTACAGTGAACTCATCAAAGAAAATTCTAGAAGACGTTGGAGACCTCCCTTATATGTTGAGCAAAGTTGAACTCAGCTGAATTTATGGAACTAGTACAAGGAGGACTAATAAGCACATTTCAGCACTATTTAATTATAAGCTAGTTTCTAATATAAGAGTTAAGGTTATAATGTAACGGAGCAACGGTACGATATTTCTCATTTGCTACCCAATCTAAGCTTGGCTGAGAATTTCTATTTTTAAGCTTTGTTGAGAGCTAATATTTTTCTTTTTAAATTCTTGCGTTTAGAAGGTGCATGCTAAATCATTCAAGTGGTATTGATCAAATCTCTTGTGGAGTGATTCGAATCACGAGTTTTCTTTACTCTTGATTACGATCATCAAGGTAATCCGTTCCATGGGTTGATTCCATATCATAGCGAGTTTAGCAACCTTTTAGAAGCTTGATAAAGCTAGAAAATTGATGGTTGTCTAGAGATAGCCTTTGAACGATGTGTAGTATTTAGCTACAAAATTAAGATTAAGTTAGAATCGGTAAATAGTTTACTTATTAACGATATTTTTAAATTGAGCATAAACGAGGAGGTTGATGGCAAATGCATATTGGAGCTATGCTGCTATACAGGAGCATGTATGTATCAATCTGTGGCTCAAGTCGATCGAGAAGTGAGAGATTGTATATTGGTATAAGAACACTATAGGCTATGTAAGACTTTTTCTAGATATATGGCGGTCGAGTTCCTTCTATCTCAACTCAAGAATGCCTTGTCACGTCCAAGTAAGTGAGGAAGAACATGAAGTAGCAACCTTATGATTTATGCGTCCACGAATTTTAAATAGATGTTGTGGGTTGATTTTCAAAAAACCCATGAAGATGGTTGATGTCAAGAGAACAAAGAAAAACATAACCGAAGCTCGTTGAACAAGTGAAGGATCATAACACCATGAACAAATGATGCCACTAATCGACGCAAAGACAAAGGGAATTTCAGGCTTAGGATTGTCACGAGAAAGAGTGCCTAAAAGGATAGTGTCCCTAAATCTCGATGGAAGCTACAAGGACCGTAGAAGAATTTGCATGACTCGTTCGTTGCAGTCTTACAAAGGCCTAGGTTAATAAGGTTGATTAGGTCAAAATTCAGGTGCTAGGATGTAATGCATCCATAACTCGGTACAAGGCTACTTAGAAAGTGAAAGAGAACTTGATCAAAATTCTTTGGAGTCTTGGTGATGATTGGCGCGAAGATGGTTATATGAAACACCATAGTTAGGGGACAAGGGTCGTGTTGGCTGGTATTGATGTCGGTACTGACACAACATGCTGTGGCACTACATAGGAGTGCAATATATAAAAGAATCTATATTAAATTAGAGGGTTAAAAAGATTAAAGGTTAAACTACCGATTTAGTTCTTAAATATTTATTATTTACATTTTATTTCGTCTCCTATCTTTTAAAAAGTGTCTAGTAAATTTTAAAATTTTTAATATATTATTTTTAGAATTTAATTAAGAATTTAAAAAATTTCTAAAAAAATGAGGAAAGCTATGGTAGAAAATTTGAGAGCAAATAGATAATTTGGTTCATACAACGAAACGTTTTTTTAATTTTTTTTTTATAAAAGATAAAAAAGTGTTAATGTTATTTTAAAAATTTATTTATTTTAACTTATTTTATTAAAAAAATATGAATTTTTTCTAGAGCAATTTTTAATTTCTTAATTTAAATTTAAGTGTATTATTGAAACTTTTAAAAATTTAAGAATATTTATTTATATAAATACAAAGTTTAGACGTATTTTTATTAATTTAGCAAATGTTTTGGTCGTCTCATGGATTTGGAGATTATAGCCACTGGAGCGACCAATACGACAATAGCCCAATGACCATTTCGGCCCGCACAACAAAAAAAATTAAAGCATCCCCAAGAATTTGGCTTAGGAGAATCAAATACAGAAAACTCTATAAAAAAACGAGCTAAGTAAGTGTGAAAATTTTGAGTATGGAAAAACCTTGAGTAGGATGCTTCGACTCAGCCCGACCACATGCAATGAAAATACTTTATTGAAACGTTGGAAGGAATGAAAAATTCTCGAGAATAATTGGATCAAGTTTAAAGGTTATAGGGATGTGGTCGATGATTGATAAAATGTTATTCCAACTTAGAGGTTCGATATTTTCAAGAACATGGTGGTTAATTGTTTAAGAAGTCTTGCTGAGTTGAACAACGAAAAGATGAACGATTATATCAAAAGGACGATTGATAGAAAGGTGATGGAGATTGGAGATCTCGAAGGGATCCCTCCCTCCCTTTTATTCGAAATTTGAAAGAGATCTTAATTTTCTTTTAGACCGAGGAAAGTTCATATTCAAGTAACAGCGTAAAAGATCTCGACCATTAAAAAAAAAAAAAAACAACGGAAGCTAATTATATAACTCCCCAAAATCATCCAATTATCCATTTCCCTTTCAATGGGAGGTTCCATATCTAGAACAATCTCCATTCTTCATCTTCTTTCCAATTGATTTTCCAGCGTTGATTCCGTAAGGAAACTGTAAATTTCATCAGCGAATTGCAAGGCCTATCCATTCTTTCGTGAGGGAACTGTAAATTCCACCACCGATTCGCAAGGAAATGACCGCCGGACCTTCGAAGAAGAGGCAGCGGGTTCAACACTCCGCCTGCACCAGCCGCCACTCCTCCGTCATCCCTACCATCGACTGCTCCTCCTTACCAGATAAATCCTCCACAGAAGTCTCTAAAAAGCCCCTTAATCTCTACCGTAATTCATCGTTTTCCTCCATCGACGCCTTCAACGACGCCTCCACTGCCGATATTCTCCTCCGTCTGTATTTAGAGGTTACTCCTTTCGATTCGTCTGATTCCGAGTTCCTTGCGTCTTCCGACATCCAGATTTATCTCCATTCGCATGTTCTTCGCCGATCGAAGTACTTTTCTGCTCTGTTATCCGATCGATGGCAGCCACAGAAGGATGATGATTCCAGTCCTTTGAGATTAGGTTTTGGTGTCCCGGCGGCGCATGGCTCCATGGATAACCATTTGGCTGTTCTTGAGCTTCTTTATGTCGATGATATGACGGAGGCTATAGATAGCGCGAAGACGGCGTTGGATCTCCTCCCCGTCGCGCTTAAATTTCTTTTCGAGGATTGCGTGAAGTCCTGCGTTCGATTCCTCGAGGCCGTGCCGTGGACCGACGAGGAGGAGAAGAGAGTGATGAATTTGATACCATTTCTGCAGGAGGAGGAATCGAGAGAGCTTCTTTCTAGGGTTTCGCCTGGCCGGAATGATTCTTGCGAGGAAATGTTGCAAGGACTGATCTTAGCAGCCATTCATAATTATCCCAATATGGCTTTCGTGAAGGCATTTGTGGCGAAGCTTTTGAAGGATTTTTCATCGAAGGAGTCGGCGAAGAGAGTGCTGAAGCGGGCATTCGAGACGAGCTTGAAGGTTGTGAAGGAATCATTGGAGGAATATTCGAGCCCGAATTTTAGAGGAGATCATAACGAGACGGAGGCCATTCAGAGGCTGAATTTGCATACTGCCATGACTAATGCTAAGCATTTGTCGTGGCTGGTTGAGAGGATGATTGAATTGAGGGTGGCGGATGTTGCTGTGGTTGAATGGAGTGAACAGGCTTCTTTTACTGCAGATTTACAGAGAGCGTTTCGGGACGATGCGTGGCGGGGCATTGTGCCGGGGTTTCCTTCAGTTCTTCTGCGGTGTACCTCGAAGCTTGCCAATGCGGTTGCTGCTGGTACCATTTTGGCCACTAAACAGGTATCAACCATCTTGCACAATCTTTCCAACTTCTCATCAGTTTATGGTAATGTGCTGTCCGTTTGATTTTTTGAAAGATGGCAAAGGTCTCTTTTGGTGTTAATCTGATTATAGCTTTACTTTTTGAATTTACTTTTTGAACTTCCCCTCAAGGTTTTTAGCAAGGTTTTTAAACCCTTCTGCAAGCGACAGGTTTTCATGTTCTCCTCCCACCCAACGTGCGATCTTACAATCCACTTTCCTTTGGGGTGGGATCTTACCGTCCACTTTCCTTTGGAGCCAGCGTCTTCATTTTGTTCTCCAATTGATGTGGGACCCCCAATCCACACTTCCTCGTTGTCCACCTCCCTTCGGGGCTCCGCCTCTTCGCTGGCACCTTGTGTCCACCTCCCTTGGGGGCTCTGCCTCTCCGCTGGCACCTCGTGTCCACCTCCCTTGGGGGCTCCGCCTCTTCGCTGGCACATCACCTGGTGTTCGGGTTTGATACCGTTAGTAATGCCCCAAGTTTACAACTAGCCGATATTGTCCTCTTTGGGCTTTTCCTTACGAGCCACCCCTCTTTAGGCTTTTCCTTACGAGCCTCCCCTCTTTGGGCTTTCCCTTACGAGCCTCCCCTCTTTGGGCTTTCCCTTCTCTTTTGAGCTTTCCCTAAGGTTTTTAAAATGCCTATCTAGGAAAGGTTTTCACACACTCTTATGCTTCATTTTCATTTTCCTCTCCAACATGGGATCTTACAAGTTATTAATAACATAGTTAGCAAATTTGGTCTAATTTTCTAATGGGGGATCATGGTTTGCTTGAGATTTCTTGCTTGTTTACATTGGGAAGGTACGAGAGTAATGAGTTAGTCCAAAGGCATTTTTGATGAAAAGACGAAGCCCCTTTTTCTTTCTTGCTTGCTTTTGTAATGAGAAACGAAATTCTTAATGTAGCTGTTTGGGCGTGTGGATTGATTAGAAAACTGCTTACTTTATACTTAGTTTTCACTTGGGGTTCTAACATTTCAGGTTAGAAAGAAGCTGGTCAAGCATTGGCTTCCAGTTCTGCTTGTCAGCAAAGACCACTCCCCCTTGCTTTCCGGCAACAAGAATCTGTGTATGGAGCTGGAGGAAACATTCCTAAGAATCATTTCCACGCTTCCTTTGTCTGATGCACAGGAGTTGTTGCAGCAGTGTCTTAGCTTCACTAGAAATGTTGATGATTGCCCTCACCTATTCAAAGCATTTAACACGTGGTTTCGACGCGCAATGCATCCACCACAGCCAGAGAAACTTTGATAAGAAAGGAAACGGCGACTTTGTACTGTGAGTCGTGATTTCCCATCTCTTTAGTATTTTGTGCATATAGGAAGTGGAAACTTAAACTTTGTATATAAACCCAGAAAGGTTTCCCTCTGCAACTGAAATGGTCTCCTTGGATGCTCTTGGTGTACCTTTTCTCATAAGCACGATGTTTCTTTTGTTTTTTTGGCTGCAGTTGTGATGTAAATTAGGTTAAGAAGCTTATAGTTATCTAAATCTATTGGCAACTCATCTTTTTCCTTCTCTTTGTTTGTTTTGTTTTCTTTTGAGTTTTTGGGCAATAATTTCAGACCAGAGTTGTTGGAGAAATGTTAATTCAAGTAAAATGTAAGTTGAATGATAGAAGGGCTGTAGGCAGTGTAAACTTGGGCGGGCGGGCGGGCGGGCGGGAGTTCTAGTTTAACCTTACTCTTTGGACAATGTCATAAAGAGAACCCCTCAAGAGGTTAATATTGGTTTGACTTATGGGAGGCTTGTTAGGTATCCTATTATAATCTAACCTATCTGAAAAATGGTAATGTAATCGGTGGCAACAACACACTGAAATTTCAATTCAAGGCCGCATAGTTGCATGCATGTTATTGAACAAAATCCATAGCAATAAAGAGATGCCCTATAACAATTCAATCTCTCAGCATATCCAGAAAAGGTGGCCGCGTTGCATTAACAATGATCAAAACTTAAAAGCAGTTGTCTAGACAGTTCTTCCTTGTTTTAAAGGTATCTTACAAAGATTAATAGGAAAGATGAAAAACCTCGCAAGTCTTACAAGGTGTCCTCTCAGCTACCAGTCATTGAACTGTATTGTCGATTCAAATTTGTCTTCCCGGTCTTTATGTCACAAAGGTGTTGCAAATCCTATAAGATAAGGTATAATGATGAAGTTAGGATATGAAATCATGCTATACAAGATATTTATGAGTATGGATGACCATTCAAGATGAAAGTTATGGATTATCATTTATCTTAGTGTATTTCATAACAGAGTCAATTTTGCATTTAGTTCTCCATGTTTTATGCATAAGCTTATATGGACTCTTTCTGGACATATGATTTTGGTTTTTGAAATTGGGCGAACATCTCAAAACTCAAAAGAATTCTTCTAATAAGAAACTAAACAAAGAAGTTATTAGTAAACACGAACCATCTTACTTTTCATAAACAAAAAGATAAGAACAAAATCGTTCTCAGACTAGGGTTGAGAGTTCAAGGCAATCAAAATTCAAAGCACATTGCATATTCTGTACAGATAAGAAGGCCATTGCAGAACTTCTTCCACTTCCTTCAAGAGATAAAATTGGGAAAGAGCAACAATAGTGCAAAATTTCCTGATAGAAGTGTTGCAGGACAACGAGAACATAACAGAGAGTTAACAAAACAAGATCCGAAATCATACGAACAAAAATCCTCTCCGTATCGCCGAAGGATATGCACATAACCATAAGAACAGTTTATATAGAGAAACGGCGAATAAAAAACCTTCAGAAAGCCAGCTCCAGCAATGCGAGTCGACGGCAATTTTGGACTTCAACCGAGCTGAGGCGACGGCGCTATGGAGTGGCATCAGAGACTCCACAGTAGCCAAAGACGAAACAATCCTGGAGTAAAATAGAGTACGACCGATGAAAAATGGAAGCAAATCAAGTATTTTCAAGATCCGAAAAAGTTCAAATACAGTAAATTAACAGATCGCAAAGAAATTCCAGCACGTAAACGACTGAATGAAATTGCAAAATTTGAAGTAAAAGTACCTGGAAACGGAAGTGAGGCCCCTAGAGGAAGAAGAACCAGGCATTGGATTTAAGGTTTTGCGAACGAGTGTTCTGGTCCGTCCGGTCACGAACCTTGCACCCGTCGCCGTGAGAACTGATCGGCAAACGGAAGCCATTTCTGGTCTTCTGGAGTAGGCGGAACGCAGGTTTTTCTCTACACACCGTCTTGGGAACTGACTTTATTACGGGAAAATTTTTTCTGCTTATATATATATATATATGTTAAACTATAAAGTTTTTAGCGGGCGTAATTATTTTGTGTTTGGAGTTAAATAATCTATTTTATTATGAAATTATCATGTTTTTAATTATTTTAATTATTCAGTTTATTATATACATTTTCCAAAATATAATTAACCTCAATATTTAAAATATTTTATTGAAATTTCAATAAAAATATTCATAAATATCGACGTCAACAAATAATTGATGAAAAATTATAAAATAAAAAATAGAAAAAAATAAAGTAATAAATAAATATTTTACACTTTCTAAATATGTTATCCTTAGCCGTCTGCTATTTTTATGGGCCAGGTTGGTCATAAGTTTGGGCTATTTTTATATTTCTGCCAGAATAAAGCCCATATATAAAGCCCATATAAAAGCCCATGACCAGGCCGAAGCCCAAGAAGCGGCGTTTTATCGACGGGAAATCGGAACGATTCAAGGACTCGGTGATCACATAGATCAGTCTCTGCAGAAACATTTCGGAATCCCTCCCCTGTGAGTAGCGGTGGAAAACATTACTTAGACAGAGCCAACGTTTGCGATGGCTGCGATCTTAGCTCGCAAATCTCTTCTTGCTCTTCGTGCTCGTCAGTTTGTAAGCAATCTTCTCTTCTTTGCCCTAATTTTTCTAATCTTCCGCCCGCTCCCCCCCCTTTTGCCGGTGATAGACTTGTAAGAGCTAATTGCCTGAATATGGACGACGTTGTGCTTTTATTTTGTTTTGAGCTTTCTGGCGTTTGCAATTGAATCGTGGTTTTCTGGGTGGCAATTTGTTTGTTTTAGTTTAGATATTCGAATCGTTGAACGGATGGGGTATTTTATTGTATTTTTTTTTTTTTGCGCAATCTTGCCGAACATACAATTATGGCCATTGGGAATTTTATCTGTTCCGTACGGTTTGTGTTTCATTGCTAATTCAATAGGAACAAACATTTCGATACGGAAATGAGACTGTCTGTCGTTTCTTTCCCCTAACAAGGAAGGATTTGTAATTTTAATGTCCCATTTGGAGGGAGATTATGTGTAGAAAGAGGAACTTGAAGGTACTAACTACTGGCCGACCTTTGATGGTTAGGCTGTTTATGCAATGCAATTTCCTGAACTTTTCTGGAAAAATGTAGGCTATTTTCTAGATAGGTCGCCAAGATCTGTGGATGGTTTCCGAAATTTTGGGGGTGATGTTTAAGATATCTTGTATGTTCTTTCCTTGAATTATATTAATGTATTTGCGGTTGGGAAAACTAAAGGAGATTGGCATTATGGGGTTGTGTGGCTTATTTTGCTTGTAACTAGATTACCTGTTATTTATCCCCTAAGCTTTATTATTTATCTATTTCTATGTTGGGATGGGAGGGTTCTGTTCAATTTTCACCTTTGAAGGTCTTTTAGTGTTATTTGCTTTGCTGTGAATTTTTCACTTTGATATTTGATGAAACATATGATTTACTGAGCTTTAGTTGTCAATGGAAGTATTCACAATATTGATTGAAAACTTGATAGTAATCATGTCATATAAATCATATTCCTCAGTTTTTGTAGTTGTAAGAATGTTTTGTGCCCTTTGTTTTATTTATTATGTGTAATCTACTGTTGTTAGGCCATCTCTGGGCAAGCATTGCAAGGTTCTCCGTTTCATGGTCTCCGGTCAAGTGCACACTTGTACAGTACCAAAAGAGGTTTTGTTTCTGATTCTCATCATCTTAATAATTATACTCGTATATCCATATTGGCATAATTAATCACTGCTGAACCAAGCAGTGTGCATATGATCCACAGGATGCGAACTTATTTGTTTTTTCCTGCCATAATGGTGCTATGGGTATTTTTCTTACCTTCAAATTCTTTTCCATCTCATTACTTCTGCAGAGGATGAAGAAAGAGAGCAGCTTGCCAAGGAGATGTCGAAGGATTGGAATTCTAGTAATTTTTGTTTTCTTCCATAGTTTCTTCACTGTTTCCTTTTAAATCTTTTTCAGTTGTCCGTTCTATTAGGTTTGACGTTTCTTACAAAAATTTATTTCTTGGCTCTTTATAGTTTTTGAGCGTAGCATAAACACTCTATTTCTCACTGAAATGGTACGGGGTCTGATGCTGACTCTTAAATACTTTTTTGAGAAAAAAGTCACTGTAAGTGTCTTCCAAACAACCTTCTGTAGCACTAAGCTAAAGTTCTTGTTGATCCTGATTTCTGATTATTGTTCATGTATCATGCAGATCAATTACCCATTTGAGAAAGGCCCACTAAGTCCTCGCTTTCGAGGTGAGCATGCCCTCCGACGATATGCAACTGGAGAAGAACGATGCATTGCATGCAAGCTTTGTGAAGCTGTAAGAATTGGATCTATATTTTTAAGTTTTAGTTTAAATCATTTTGGTTTGAACAATATATTTCTACAACGAAATGTTAAAGAAGTTTGTAGCACTATAGCTTGGTCATTGTTTTACCATCTTTTAGTGCATTGAAGCACATATTGTCATTTTTAGTCAAGTTGAGTCTTACGAGGATAGATTGTATATAAGGTGATCTAGACACGCCATTAATTCTTGACTAAAAAGTGTATTTGAGAGGGGTTCCTTATATCCTTTGGGAAATTAAAATTTATATTCAGACATTGCTGGTTCTATGCATGGGAAAATGTGTTCTTTAAGATTGTAAGTGTTTAGTGTATACAGCCGCTAGTTTATGCTCTTTTGATCCATAAAACTCATGATTTACTAGGTAATATAGTCTCAAGGTCTTTATTAGCCATGTTGTTTCTTGTCTTGATCGCCTATTATTAATTTCTGTGATGGTTAGAATTCAAGTTTGTAAAAATGGTTACTTTAGGGTGAGTGTAGGATGCATTATGAATGAAATGGTTTTAAGTGAAGCACTTATCTTGTTTACATAATGTGTTAGCCGGCCATGGTTGGAATACTTTTGGTTTTTATTTCCTAAACAATTATGGAGATAAATTCGATATTTTAAAATGTGCTACATTTGAGCATAAGCTTAGCTGATCATTACTTTGTGTTGTGGCTTTGAACTTATGCTCGTTATTCGATTATTCTATTTGATTTTCTTATTAGATTTGTCCTGCCCAAGCAATCACAATTGAAGCCGAGGAACGAGAAGATGGTAGTCGTAGGACCACAAGGTGATCACCTCGACAACATCTCTTTATTCTTTTATCCGTGTTCCTAATTAATCTTAATTTTCAGGTATGACATTGACATGACCAAATGCATCTACTGTGGATTCTGTCAAGAGGCATGCCCTGTTGACGCCATTGTCGAAGGTCCCAACTTCGAGTTTGCTACAGAGACTCACGAGGTTGATCTTATTACGTTTTGAATGTTATGGTAAGCTACCAACGTTGCTGATGAATGTAGGCTCATAGTTTTTGTGATTTTGTAGGAGCTTCTCTATGACAAAGAAAAGTTGCTTGAGAACGGAGACCGCTGGGAGACTGAGATTGCAGAGAACCTTAGATCTGAAAGCCTCTATCGCTGATACATTTGCCAATGGTGCACTCTGCATTTAACTTTTCTTTAGTGGCATTCATAATAAGATAAACCTGAGCATGCTGTTGAAATTATTTTGTGTTCTTGGTATACATGAGTTGAGAACATAGTTCTTGCTTCTTACTACGGCCCAAGTCTGAGATTTTTCTGATATCTTTTGTTTTTCTTCCCAATAAAAATGGGAATGGTAATGGTTTCTCATGGAACAGTCGTAATGTAGGTAATATTTGAACAATGTCATCAATATCTCATCAATGTTCTTCCAGAAAGCATCAGAAATGTGTCAATTTGATTAACAAAGTTCACTAGGCTACATTCCTTACATTCCTTGATATTCGATGCTAACCAAGGCTCATACTTAGAAGGTTTAGTATGAAGCATATTATATATAAAACTATTTAAGGGCTCATCTGTCTTTCTTTGTACCCAAGACCTTGGTCCATGAGTTCTCAAGCTTTTAGTTCTTGACCCTTTAAGCATTCATCTAGGAGACTTGTTGGGTCTTATGGTCAGTGACAACTCGATCCGAATGTATGCTCAAGACTTCATGCGTTTCTTGCAATATAGTCTGATATCCGTGTCTAGGGTTTAGCCACTTACAAAAGATCCCCACAACATATATGTTTTGTTTTCTAATTCTAGAAGAGGGACCAGAATTTCGATTTTGGTTATATGATGATGTCCATAATTTTTCGGAACTGATCATAAACATATTGATTGATAGATTAAGGGTCTCTAAATGCCAGTTAAGGTCAAGCTAGACAGCTTAACCGACCCTCCTTCCAAAAGAAAATTGGATATATATGTATCATGTATGTACAACTAGCCCCAATTGGGAGGTGCAAGTGGACAGGAGAAGTATGATATGTTTATAGACTGAACTTTCCTTCTCCAACAAAAGAGAATTGGCTTGCATTCCAAAAACTACAAGAAACAAATGATCAATTACAGAAAATATGCAAGCTAAAACCAGCTCAATCTCGAAGTGTGCTGTGTTATTAACAAAGAATCAACACCACACCAATGTGTCCCTCCTACTTATTCTCCAATCTTTCAATGCCTTGAACTTCAGCTGGTTCTGGGAATATCTCCTTCGAATGTCGTCGACGAGACGACGAACGTTCGCTGCCACCATTCCGATCACTTCCTTGCGAACCCATCGTTCTTGATCGTTTGAAACTACTTCCGCCTGCTTTAGTCAAGGAGGCTGATGGAAGCATTGTAACATCCGAAAGGCTTTGGTGCCAGCTACCGAACAAAGAAGCATTCCAAGAACTTCCAATGGAAGTTGATCGAAACTGTCTCGAGCTCGAATTCTCTTCCCTTACTACCTTCAATGGGTTCTCCAAAGCTTTGAGGATGTATTTCATCACGGGTCGCCTCGAAGGTTTCGGATTGAGACAGGACTTGGCAACAACAGCCACAGCCCATGCTTCTTCCAACAGATCGTCG